CCCTGACTTTTTCCTTCCTTACCCCTCCCCTACCCAACCTTTCTAACCCCTTCTCTACCCCTGACTTTTTCCTTCCTTGCCCCTCCCCTACCCCAACCTTTCTCCTTCCTAACCCCTTTCCTACCCTTGGCTTTTTCCTTCCTTACCCCTCCACTACCCCAACCTTTCTCCTTCCAAACCCCTTCCCTACCCCTGCCTTCCCCCACCTTACCCTCCCCTACCCCTACCGACCTTTTCCCTCGTTTACCTCTCCTCTAACCTTCTCTTAAATCGACAAGAATCCTTCCCAACCTTCCGTTTGACAATTTGGCACTCACTCTTAATGACTTAATTTTTCTAACTTCATAAATGATGACGGACTTAAAATCGCTTTAACCTCACTCATTAATCCTAAATGGGGCAATCTTCAGTAATATCTCTTAACATTTCCCAAAATGCCTTTGATACCAGACTAAGATCACTATACAAACTCTTTACATTTCTTGTTATGTGTGATCACATTTCCAAGTGGGAGAGTTTTCTTTTCTATCACTGTAGTTGCCTGATGTTTACATACCTTCATAGCGGCAAGATGTTTCATCCCACTGCTTACGTCAGACGCTATCCTCAGTCTCTCCGCGGAGCTTATCTCTAAGCTATACTCGTTCATGTCCTCGTAATTTTCCTTTCGGTGATCCCGAAGATGACGTAATAGATTCCCGTGTTCGGCAAATTCTACGACGATCAACAAAGGTCCTAAAAGGCAAATGATCGGCCCTTCAGTCTTTACACTGCCACAAGTAGAAAGTACGTGCAAGTGTAGTTTACCTACCTGAGGCTGAGCATGCGCCGATAAGGTTGACCAGATTGGGGTGTTCACCAACTGATGTCATAATTTCCAGTTCATTCAACAAATCTTTGAGGTCACTTTCCGTGGCAGTACCTGTCATATAGGGGTAGAAGAGAAATGATAACGCTCTGAATCAGTTAGGATATGGGTAGCAGCACGGCAATTCGCCTCGAGTAAAACGGAAAATTGGTTGCGGAAACTTTGTTTCTGCCAAGAAATGTCTCCGCAAGACAAATCACACAAGTTCAAACTACTTTGAATTCAAGTAAAAAAGATTGTAGTTTTGGATATTTGGGGCAGAAATTTGTTTTAAAAACAGTACATAAGAAGCACTTCTTTCCACAGACTCGTCGCCTACTGTGCCTCGGTCAGAAAAAATTATCATACAACGTAACTGTTTCCATTCGAAAAGCATAAAAAAGAGCTAAAAAAAACTATTGCCTTAAGTTTGCTCCTTGTAAAAGAATAGAGAAGTTACGAAAGAACACAACAATGGAACTTCAACCCATCTGTTTTCAGCCGTTTTAATTCAATATCTTGATGAAAATTCTCCTCACTGTCTGCCACAAATTTCTTTTAAAGTTTGTTTTGAGATTTTGGTCTTGGATCAGACGATAATACCCGTGTTAATATTTTTTGCTACTCTCATCACTCGCCTGCTTGATACTGTACTGATACTGTACTGATACTGTACTGATACTGTACTGATACTGTACTGATACTGTACTGATACTGCAATGATACTGTACTGATACTGTACTGATACTGTAAGAAGAAATTCTTCCTTGGTCACTTTAGAGAGTGAAGGGTTAATGCAAAGTGTTCGCCTTAACTGTGATCTAGATACGTTGGGCTATTTCTCTATGACTTTGAGTTTTTAAGAAAAGGGTCGACTATAAGGGTTCATTTTTTAAGTTGGCCGTTTTACCTCGCTATTATCTCATATCTGATTTAACACTTCAAGCGTCGGAGGAGCGTAACTAAAACAGGGGTAACCATCACTTCGCTTAAGAAGAAAAAAATTTTCAAAGTATTTCAGAAAATGTAACCATATCACGATTTACTTTCCTCAACTCCTTTTCTGTTGGGAATTGAATTGGTTTGATATGAGATCTATGACGACGTGGAGAACACTTCGATTGGGCTGTAAACTACAATAAAAATAGAATTGACATACGTTTTAACTTTTTAACAGCACAAGTAATTACATTCCCGTCATCTTCAGTCAACTCTCCCCTGACGACCATTCCAAATTCGCCTTCTCCAAGAACTTTGCCAAGAGTGATACGATCACGTGGTATTTCACGCCACGCAAACGAGGCTTCGATATCGATTGGTGCGGCTGCGTTGTTGGGTGCTTGACCAGGGACGAGAGCATAGCGATCTCTACCAAAAGTGGAAGTCGTGAATCGTCCATTTTCAGCTTCCGAATGATTTTGCTAAGATAAAATGATTATACAGAGAACAAATTGAATAAATCTAAAATAAACAACAGGGAGGTAACTGTACTCCATTATAGAACCCGGATGAACATGAATGGGAGACATGCCAAGCATAAAATTAAAAAAAAAAAATGACGTTAAATTTTCACTATGTACAAACTGTAAGAATGTCACTTTTAATCCCACGGAAGGGCTTTGGGGTGTCAGTGTATATGACCCATTTAGACACAGTGATTAACTGACCGTATCTGGTGATACAGGATTCATTGGTACTTGTTCGCCATCGTTTAAAAATCCCGTCCCTTGTCCTTTCTTTTTCAATCTTCTGTAGATAGATACTGCCACAATTAACAGTATTATAGTCAGCACCAACGGGATCACAATGGCTAATGCTAATTTCGCGACATTTTTTCCTGTAAGTGGAAAATAAAACAAAAGAAATTGTATCTTATTTTATAACAAGAATTCTTCAAAATAAAATAAAATGTACCTGGGACGTAAATGAAGAGGTATTTGTTAACAAGAATTCCTCAAAATAAAAGAAAATGTACCTAGGATGTAAATGAAGAGGTATTTGTTGACGTATTCGCAAATGATGTGAATGGAAGATTTCATTAGATCTGTCGCTTATGTAACAGGTAGAAGTACAACTCACAAAACAGGCAGCAGTACCGACCTTTTTCAGTTTTTAGTTCTCCATTAACACTGGGTTCACCCATTCCATATTCGTTTTCCGACTTCAACCTCACAAAGTAAGCAGTGTCGGGATCGAGGTTGGTTATCCTGTGATTTTCGCCCGGAGTAGATGTAAAATGGATCCATTTTTCTGTTCTAAATTTTCTGATTTGTAACGAGTATCCACTAATGGAGTACATCTGATAAAGTTCTGGATGCGACCAGGTTATGACGGCCTCAGTTTGTTCAACATTACTCGCTTGGACGTCTTTAGGTGGCGGAGGACGTTCTGCAAGGTAAAAAAAGGGGAAACGAAAAATGGAAAAAAGTAAATGAAAGTTAGTGTTGGGAACTTCCGTTCGCGAATTGATTGATAACAAACAGCGGAAAGATATCACAATCTCTTGACAGCAGGTAAAAGAAAAGGAAAAAGGAAAAGAGGAAGAAACTAAGGCAAAGCGGCAAGGGAGGATGAAAAAGGATGGAAACGGGAAGAAAGGGACGAAAGAGGGAAATAGGAACAAACCTCGTAGCTCGACCTTTTTCTTTACTTTAAAGCTGCCAATCTGACCACTTTGCACACCGGCAATCAGGGTTTTACCAACTTTGTTTGCAATAACCGTTGACTTTTTTTCCTCAGGTTTCACAGTCACAACAACACGGAATTCTACTTTTACGCTTCCATTCCTATAACGAAATAATGTGTAAAGTAAAAACCAATGCCGTTAACGAGGTGTTAATCGAGAAGTTGTCTTCCAGATAAGCTTGGACGTCTCATATTCTACGGCGCGGGTATGGTATAATATCCTGACTAGTTTTGAGGGAGATATTTTATCGGTAACTAGGAAGATAATCTTGGGAATCTTGCTGTTGAAATGCATCAAAAGCAGCGCTTACTTTAAAATGTTGGAGCGACTTGCCTGATACACAAGATCGGAAAAAAAACGAAATTGTTCAGCTTTTCAATTCTTAAACGAACATCTGAATTTTGTTCTAAGCTACATAGGGCGAGAATTCCTTTCACTGTTTCAAACTACCATTTATTCAGTTCACTTTTACAATGAACCCTTTACGCCCTTACATCAGTATGCATATTCTCCATACTGTTCTCTATACATTCCCTGAGGTGCAGACAAGGAGAATTTGTTTAACAATCAAGAGTTTCTTGAGATCGCGATCATTTCCTTTGCTCTCATGACATTCAAGTTTACATCAGGGGTGATATTAATGGGAGAAACGAGATGTTTTTCAATCTTTGGGGTTTAAGGATTAAAAAGAGGAATTTGTTCCGGTTTCCATAGCGAGAAAGCCCTTAGAGTATTGCTACCGCTCACGGATGCTACACTAATTCACCAGCTCCCGTCAGCATTTAGTCAAGTTTCAACGACACTATGCTGGCAACCTCGTTCCCAGGGTCTTTCATCTTCCCGCCCCCTGGAGCGGGAAGATGAGAAACCCTGGGAACGAGGTTGACTACGCTGGTAGTTATGTATACTACTGGGGTGGAGAGAGGCACAGGTCTGTGAGAGTCACGTGTAAAGTGTCTTGTTAAAGGACACTACACAAAGGTGACGCCAGCTGTGAGTTCAGAAAACTTTACTCGTTAGTTCTTTGCTTTTTCACTTACACAAATCCAAGAATGATGACTTCTTCGAATCCTTCGATATCCTGGAACAGGGTAGTTAACTGTGCAGGGCAAAAGAAAAAACAAACATTATTCGGATTTATTTTCGTGCAGAAAAAAAAAGAAAACCGCTGGCATATTATTTGCTCTCCTTGTTATTTAAATCACTCTCGTATACACGATCCAAGTGCCTTACAATACCACAAGTATCTCGTTTCTATAGCAAGAAAAAAGTGGCAGTATTTCTACTCCCCCTGTATGAGGGGCAGTTTCACCACCACTTAGCCCCCCCCCGTATGATTTCTTTAAGCCTCCCTTCCTTCTGATGCCCATATATTTATCGGAGAGGACATAACCTCTGTGACAGTAAAGTGTATCGCTTAAGAACACAACTCAGACGCTCCGTCAGGGATCGAACCACGACCTCCTGCTCCAGTTTCCAGCGCACCTCTAGTCCAGTCCACCACCCACTACGCCTCCCCTTCTTCCACACTCCCATTTTTCAATTCTCTTTTTTTCATTTACAAATAGTCTTCTACGAGTTACTTCGGAGAGTCTTGTGTCGTATCCTATTTATTTCACACTGGTCTTGTGGAGAGAAGTTACATACTGATCACGTCTAAGAAGACAAGTCTTCAACCATACCTCCTGCTTCACTTGCTGCTCTAATGTCTGGTATCTCGTTGAGGATTTGTTTTCTAAGTCTTGGTCAAATATTTCATCCTCAATGGTAATAGCGGCATCGACTCCCACAAGGTCTAAAGATAGAAATGAGAAATTATCGGTTTTTTTCATAGGTTATCTGGAAATGGATGCTATACTATTAACAAGTTTGCGCTTGAATTAGTGTAATCTTTGTTTAAAACACCATTACTCTGTCGGAGCGCTTTTCGATTGGGTGCCGTAGAACCAAAACCAAAGAAATCGCAATAACCAATCAAAAGAAAGAAAAAAAAATTTTGAAAGCCAATGAGAACTCGAAGAAAGCGCAGGAAAACGCGGGCGACCAAGAAGTGATTGGTTCCAGTTTTGCGTCTGATTCGCTGAGAGAGTGCCGCGAGTTCCTGGACCAATCACAGAGTGAAGTAAAGCAATACCAAAGCAGTCGCGGCCTGAAAATTGAAAATTGCTTTATAATTATGACTGAAACTTTCTCTAAGATATATTACTTACCATCTCTCACTGTAACGTTGACACTTTTTTCATCCGTTCCCACGACATTCTTAGCGATGCATTTGTAAATACCGTCATCGTTATCACGGGTGTTGTAGATCAATAACGAACCATCTTGTAGCATCTTTTTTCCTCGCACAAATTTACTTCCATCGTCAAGGGTCGTTGTCTCCAAAGTTTCATTTGCTGCGGTCACAACTTGTTCGTCTGGTGTGACCCAAGTGATCGTTGGTTCTGGAAGACCTTCAGCGTGACAAGCAAGTGTCACGTTTTCTTCGGTGCCAATTTCGATCGCTGGATCAACGTAGTTGATTGAAGGTGGTGCTAACAATAGAAAAGGTGGATAAGGGTCAATATTTGAATAATTACGCACCTACCCCTCCCCTAACCAAACAACAGTTTAACCGATAACAAGTTAGGGGCAAAAGCTTCTTGTTAGGGGAAGGGTAGGTGGCCATTTTGATGTTTCGTAGGCACGTACGCTACCAAGGTTTATCAAGACCAACAGGACCATTCGCTTTTTTCGAGAAGAATATCTTGCTAGTGAGAGGCTAGTTGATCGTGTCGTCTGATCTTCCTTGGAGAGTAATCCTGGGAGAGACTGTCGTAATTGACATTTCGACAACCTGTGCGGAAGTGACATTTTAACAACCTGGGCGGAAGTGACATTTCAACAACCTGGGCGGAAGTGACATTTTAACAACCTGTGCGGAAGTGACATTTTAACAACCTGGGCGGAAGTGACATTTCAACAACCTGGGCGGAAGTGACATTTTAACAACCTGTGCGGAAGTGACATTTTAACAACCTGGGCGGAAGTGACATTTCAACAACCTGGGCGGAAGTGACATTTCGACAACCTGGGCGGAAGTGACATTTTAACAACATACATACATACATACATACATACATACATACAGACATACATA